TTTGTAATATGCAGTTGATTTCCTATTTTTAACCATTCTGGTGAGATGAATACTTAGTACATATCTAAGTATCTTATTTTTAACACTAACAATTCTAACAAAGCTTTTAAAAGAGAATTCAAGTAATGAGCAAATGAACAAAGCAAGCTTTGGATAAACCGAATTCATGAGTAATCATTTAATGACTGGAAAAGACATCCTGGAAACTGTTTGGATTGTTCAATCAAATGTTCACATTTCCCTTATTCTTTAAAAGAATAAGGAATTACTTGCTGGATTCTGATCCTGCTAAATTTTACTATTTGTTTAAATATGCAAATATTTTCATAAATATTATTTCTATGGAATTTTAACTGTTTGGTTTACTGGGATCTTGTTTTCGAATACTATCATAATTAATGATAAGTTCACCTTATCATTAATAATTAATGATAGCTCACCTTAAAAAAGGTGAACTACTGAATTTCAGTAGCTTTGGTTAGAAGCAAAAGGGATTTTAAAGTGATATTAAATTCTCTGAAATTCAAGGTATTGTGGAGGCTGAAAATAGCTTAATGAAGGTCAATTAAACAAAAAAATAAAATAAAAATAGAGCTGCAGTAAACCAAAAAGCTTTATTTTGAGATTAAAATGTTTTCCTCTGGAAAAATAAATAAATCAATTCTAGCAGTTCCATTGTGAAAAATCTGACTTTTGCTTTTCAAAACATTTTTTTTTTAATTCAATATAATAATGAGACATAGAAAAACTCATGAATATTAGTAATATAAAGCATACAAATCAAATTAAATAAACAAAAGAAAAGAAAAGTCTTTATGGTCTTGGCCTTAGCATTGCAGTGGAATATAAGATAATTCTATTTCCCTTCCCTAAACAGTCCAGAACAGTTGACCTGAACATTTTTAATTTATTATTTTTTGCACTCTGAACACTAAAGTGTAAATCAAGTTAAATCACTTAGCTTTTCTTTAAAAACTTACTGGAGAAACCAATTTCATTACTTCTAGTTCTTACATATTTTATGCCATTTCTGTATTTCTGGACAGCTTCTGTTGTACTGAGGACTCTCAATGATCAGGGCAACATATTCTAGAACACAGAGTATGTTGAATGGAGATTATAGGGATAGAGCCTATTCTGTTTTACCATTGCAGCTCACGTTCAGAAGAGAACCAACAGATATAAACAGCTTACTAAGTCTTAGCCAGCTGTGTTGGTTTTGCATAATTGCTGTTGCAGATATGATTTTTACATCTACATATGATGCCTACTGGAAAAAAAATTATTTTTACATTTTCTCATTGACCAACCATTGTCCAGTTGCCACCAAAAAATAGGAAATAACATCTCTTCTGTTTCAGCTTCAGAGCATTTAAAAGCAGAGCTGCTACTTCACTATGGACTATCATGTTCCCCAGCTTGTATCAGTTGTTAATTTGAAGGCTCAAAATGCATTTCAAATTGCAATATATTTTTTTTTTCATTACACACAGCTGCTGACCCAGGCAGGTTTGGTGACCCCTGTAGGCTACGACTGAAAGAGCATAAAATATTTCTGGGAATAGTGGAGATACTTCTTTTGAAGTAGGGCACACATGCTCTAGTGAGAGTTTGGTATCTTTTAGATAGACGTCTGAGAAGGATGTTTGACTGCTGGGCACTAACAAAAACTACATATTTCTGTAGTTCACAACTTCCTTAAGGCCCATAGTGCTGAAATCCAGCTGGAAAGATAATCTGAGTTATCCCATCTGTTCACTAGAGACTTTGGAGTGGTTAGCCTGTAGCTACAGCATTGTGCTCTGAAGCATACTTCATTTCTCTGTGCAAGCAATTATGCATGTCTGGTGCATTCATTGGCTGCCCCAGTTTAAGGTAATTTTGGTGTAGGCTGACTGTGAAAGAGCAATTAGAGAGATGGTGGAAGCTGGCTATCTAAATTAGGATAGAGTTAAGGTTGGATATGTGCTCTATTGTTTACAGCAGCTGTGGCAATAACAAAGTGCTTCTAAATACTTTATTTTTATTTTTGGTGAATCAGTGAAGCATGTTTTGTGTAATATGTATATTAATTATTTGGTTTTTAGCTTGCAATATACCTATATATTTATTTGTGAATAAAGGTCTTAGAACAGGAGAAATAACAACCCTGTAGAGAAAGAAATATTTTGTTTGTTAGCTACAAACAAACAAAACTCTACACACACAGTCTCTGTAATTGGATTAAATCTGTTTTTTGATGTTGCCCTTACATCAGCAAATAGGCATTTGGGGATTCCCAGGCCACAATAATCATTCAGTGCCTACCCCTCATCACTGAGATTTGTGTGCGTAGTGTAGTACATTTGTTCGTAATGAAATGACTAAAGATCAGCATCAATATGACTTATAAACAGAACAACCCTCCTCTACTGAAATACGCTTACTGAGGTTCTACCAAATTATACATAGGAGGAATGATCTGTTCAGGGACTTAAGAAGCTAGGCTGTCTATAAAAACACTTAAACCAAAGCCAAAATCCATGATTTTTCTATTAAAATGGATTATGAGCAGATGCCAAATAAAAACTACATTGGAAGCATGAAAGGCAAGAAAACCTGATTGTGTACAAAATCAGATGTTCTGTGTGACAGAACATATTATATGGTTCAGTTAATCCTGCCTTAAATGCTATACTGAAATAAGAAAATGCAGAGATCACATACACATATATTATCTTACATATATAATTCTCTATATATTTATAAGATTTATGCCTTATGTATAAGATAATATTCACAGAGAAAATATTCTAAAGCAGAACAAAAAATTGTTCAGCTTGGAAAAATAATTTGTCTTTGGTATTTTGTTGTTGTTGTTGTTAAAATCAGTAAATATCAATGTTATGAATCAGCTAAATATAATATATATATAAATATATAGTTTTATATAACACTGGGGGAGCCTATCCAAAAAAAAGCATGGCATTGTCTTTCTTTAATGGAGGCCTGTACACGGCAAAAAGAAAAATGAAAGAAAAAACAATTATTATTTGAGAATATGTATTAGAGCCTTTTCACATAGTTTTTTAATGCATTGTTTCATTTAACTATATTTTCCTTATTTACCATAAATCTGAATTATACTTCCTCCTACTGCTTCTGTATTTTTTATTTCCTCAATCTAATTTTACCCATGAACAGAGGTTAAGGATTTTTTTTTCCATCAGATTTCTATTATTTTATTGCCAATTTCCCTTCAAGAAGCACTTATAATTTTTCTGCTTCTATTCACCTCTCTCCTTTTCCTGTACATATTCTTCAATAGTTTTCTTTAATGTGAATTTTTCTCTAGTTTTGTTTTCGCTTCCCTTACCTCAAAATTCTGTGTTTCATGTGTGATGCAACATGTTTTATTCAGTCCTTCAACATTTCTCACTTTTTGAGCCTTTAATCTAATTCCTTTTCTTTTATTTTCCTCTGCTCTACATTGCTTTTTAGTGTCCCTTTCACCTCTTGTCTTCTCTCCTTTTCATTTCCTGGATGCTTTTTTCCTGCATCTAAGTTGTCTCAATTACTACATACTCCCTCTTATTTTTTTCCCACATACAGTTCCCTTTTGAACACCCCCTTCTCTGCTGCTGCTCCAAGATGCAAGGCCTTTCTTCTGACCCTTCTAGTTCATAAGGAAAATATTTCCCTGTCTGTCCTTTTACCAAAAAAGAAAAAGACATCTATCTAAAGAATGGCATAATTCTTAGCCCGCCACGGAAAGTGTTATGTTAGTTGTATCTATCAAAGGGCTAACAGGTATCTCCTCTCCTTTCACTTGGCGTTGCAGAATGTTTTACCAATCACCAAAGTAACAAGTATGGGAGGAAGCACGGAGATTACTGGCCAAGCTTGTTTTCATCTTTCTTTTTGTCTTTCTTTTTCCACAAGACTTAGATATCTGTGTGCCCAGATAGGAATAAACCACAGGGTTTTCTTGTCCATTGTTGAGCTCTACCTGATGTAGACTTCACTTGTTGTCATGTGAGTCTTTTGAGATACTCATGTCTGAGGTGATACTTCCCAAGAAGAAGCATTCCTTTAAAAGGTTTAACACTCTTGAGGAAGAGGTGAAATGGATTCCCTTTTATAGATTAGTTTATATGAAAGAAATGGATGCTGGAACTATTACAACTGTGAACAAAAATAAAATATGTCACTGGAGGCTTACAGAAGATGACCGATAATATGTAAAACAGATACTCAGAACTCTAATGGAAGAGACAGTTGGGAGAGAGCTTAATGGTAGCCTATTCTAAGATCTGTTACCTAAACTACAGGTTCTGTTGAAGATAAATGAGATTTAACTACATATATGTACAGTATCTAATCCAGCAAGGTGAAATATCTGGATACACTGAACTCCAGAACTATACAAATTATACCAATGAATATTTGAAGTGCTTGGAGAACATACATTTTTATCATTAAATCATTAAAATTAAATATGTAATGAGTGTAGTGACTATCAAATTCATTTAGTTCAAGTACATAAAAAAATAAAAACTCAAAATAATGATGAAAGAAAAAAAAAAAAAGACTGTTCATTTACACAATGAAATGAATAACAGAAGCACTTATGACCACTCATTCTACCTCTTCCTTAGAAAGAAGGATGAGTGAGTAGTTTGTGGATAGATGAGTATATAAACACTCAGTTTGATTTCTTTTTGAAGGAATTTTTAGGTGCTATTTATGATTGGATGATGGGAGTAGTTGTCAGTTAATACCCAGAAACAGGAAAAGCTCTCATAATTACTAGCTTAGCAAATCCACTTTTTTATTCTAAGAGGTGAGATAGAACACTTTATCTCCTCCTTATTTCCTACCATGTATTTTTTTCCAAAAATACACTAATTGTTATTGTCCCTAGCAGGTAGAACACATCAGTTGTTTGCTACGTTACCAGCCTTGACACAATTTTCCTTTCCTAAAATAGATAGAGCATTTTATTTTTTGGCCTGGCCTACCTTCTGTGCTTTTGGCATATCAGTGTGGCGCTGAGCACGTACAGAGCGTGCAGACTTAGGTGGCTTTATTGGAGCACAGTACATCTCCAGCCTCCTCAGGTCACAACTCTGGAAGCAGCATTCATCCACTATTCCCTTGTGGTGTAAGCGTCTACTGCTGGATCCATACCCTGTAGGCTTACCTATTCAAAACACAAATGGAAAGTTTTTATGTTAGAAAGAAAATGCAAAGATCTCAGCAGCATTCATATTAAGTTGCATTATTTTAACTGAATCACCAATGACAGTTGTAGAGGCTGCCTGTGTGTATCTGTTCTAAAACAATGTCCTTAGATACAGCTTCCAAAGATATTCCTGGAAATGGCCAGCTTGGATCTTTGTCTATGGATAGCTGCTACTTAAGCATTTGAGCAAACTTACATCTTCTTAGAAGAGTATTATTAAAACATTTTCTTGAACTGTCTTGGCATTGAAAATTGAGAGGAAGGAAGCTGTAATCTGGCAGTTAGAAGCCTTGCAAAGGGAATTTACTTTTTAGCTTTTGGATGAAATCTAATTATTGAGCTGATTGAGGTAGCTGGTGTTATGCCTGTGCAGTAGGCAAGTATTATCTATTGAAAAAGGCTTCATTGAGCCACTAAATGAAGACAGAGTATGCTCCAAAGGGGAAATAAATATTATATACAACTGCATAGGGTCTAAGATCTGCAAGCTCAAAAACCAATGGGAAACAGGAAATGAGGTAACTCAGTAACTAATGATATGCAGCAAAAATAGGGTGATGGTTGATGGAACAGATACAGACAGTGTTTAATATTATATAGCTTTACACAAGATGGAAAATTGGACTGACAGAACATGATTGTTCCTGTGTTTTGTGTTTTTACAGGGCATCTGTGGGAAATACTTGTTTTGTTTTGTTTTGTTTTGTTTTGTTTTTTAATTGCATTTTTCACTCAGCTACAGTAAAGGGTGACATTTTCATTTACAGAACTGTCAAACTCTCTCTCTCTCTCTTTTTTTTTCTTTTCCCTGGGATTTCTGATTTCTTTAGTAACTAGAGATTTCACTGCCATACTATGCAAAGATTACACACCCATTATTTCCTGGACTTGTTTGAATAAAACCCAGTTGGATGTGTGGTTGTTCTATTATATGAGAAATGAATGAACAGTAAATTCACACATGCACACACACACACACACAAAAAGCATTTGCTGACTTACTACATCTATTTTTAAATTCTGGTAGAATTTGGTTTCAGACAGTAAAATTCTGAAAAGATTAAATGTTTTGTTTTGACATTTTCAGCATTAAATGTTTCCATTTAGAGATGATACACATTGGATAAAACTCCAAAATATGGAAAAAAGGAAAGAATATTGCACCAAAAGCCAAGAAAAATGAAGTAACTTGATTCAGTCAGCTCAACCATTTTCTTTTATTTTCCTTCTTTCTTTCTTTCTTTCTTTCTTTCTTTCTTTCTTTCTTTCTTTCTTTCTTTCTTTCTTTCTTTCTTTCTTTCTTTCTTTCTTTCTTCTTTCCTTCTTTCTTTCCTTCTTTCCTTCTTTCTTTCCTTCTTTCTTTCCTTCTTTCCTTCTTTCCTTCTTTCTCTCTCTCTCTCTCTCTCTCTTCTCTCTTTCTCTCTTTCTCTCTCTCCCTTCCTTCCTTCCTTCCCTCCCTTTCTCCCCTTTCACTTCTTTCTTTCTTTCTTCCCTTCATTTTTATCATTGTGACTCAAATCTATTTAAATCTATTATTTACAGGATTTGGCAAGGAATTCAGTTTTAAGAAATTACTCGAGCTAAATAAAGGAAAAGAGCAAATCAACAAAGATGGAAATTCAGTTTCTCTTTGAGAAATTCTTGCCTCTTATGCTTATACAGCAAATTCTAGATTAATATCCGTTTACCTGGTCTGCAGTTGTCAATTTGAAGACAACAACTGCATTTTGCAATTCTCTGTGATTAAAACATATGTCCACTGACAAAGAACCCTTGAGGCCTCAGTACATCCGTAAATGAAAAGACCTCTAGTGGTAAAGTATGTCTAACATTTTAGCCAGCAGTACAGTCAGCTAAGAACTAACTATCCCCATGAGCTTTGTAAACCCAGACAATAGGTTTTTAAATGTCTTTTTCCAGGGACTATAAATTAAACAAAAAGAAAAACATGCTTACTTGGTATATTGCAATCCACTGAGGACCTCTATACTGTACATTGTCTGCTAAATAATTTGTTTCATAAGACTAAAGAGAATAGCAAGCCAGGAGTAGATTACGGTAATATTTTGATTTGTGTGTGTGCGTTGTTTTCTGTGTATCACTGGAAAGATACAGAGTTGGTGGTTTCTGTTTTTGTTGTTGTTTGTTTGTTTGTTTGTTTGTTTGGGTGTCTTTTTTGTTTTGTTTTGTTTTCCAGACCATTTTCACTCACTGATTTATAAGCTACAAGTTTTTCCCTGGAAATATTTCTAAAGCCTATTAATTCTCATAGCCTAACACTTTTGAAATTCAGCAGTCGTGATAAAATCTGGAGTGTTGTTACTGTGTTGGACACCCGGAGCTCTTCAACATTTTGTCTTACTCCCATTTAAAACATCTAAGGGCAAATTCTGTTCCTGTATATGAAGGTGTAACTTCTCTTAATAGATCCAGCTGAACTGGCACGAACTGTTGATTAGTTAAGCTCACCTTTCTTTTCTCAGTCTACCAATTTGTCATAAACAAATACATCGTACAAGCAGATCAAGGGAGGTGATTGTTCCCCTCTATTCTGCCGTCATAAGGCCCCACCTGGAGTACTGCATCTTGTTCTGGGACCCCCAGAACAAAAAAGATGTAGACCTGTTAAAGTGAGTCCAGGAGAGGGTCACAAAGATGATTAGAGGGCTGGAGCACCACCACTCCTATGAAGAAAGGCTGAGAGAGCTGGGGATGTTCAGCCTGGAGAAGAGAAAGCTCTGGCCACTGCACTGTGGCCTTTCAGTACTTAAAGGGGTCTAACAGAAAGGATGGAGGGAGACTCTTCTCAGATAAATTATAGGGCAAGGGGGAATGGTCTTAAACCTTTAAAGGAGAATAGATTTGTATTAGATATTCAAAATTCTTCACTGTAGGGGTAGTGAGGCACTGGAACAGGTTGCCAAGAGAAGTTGTGGATGTCCCATCCCTGGAGGTGTTCAAGGCCAGGTCGGATGGGGCCTTGGTCAACATGATCAAGTGGGTAGCAGGCATCCCTGCCTGTGGCAGGGGGCTTGAAACTATTTGATCTTTGAGGTCCCTTCTAACCCAAGCCATTCTATGATTCTATGATTTTTCTTTTGAATGGTATTTCACATAAGCTAATAGGCATTTAGGTTTGGTTGATCCATTGACATGCTGTAATCATGTGTTTACTATTATCATCCCATGACTGATAATAGTAAAAATAAAGAGGGACAGACTATTTATTAGTTTCAACTGGCTTTCCGTGATCTTTCTACCTAGAAAACTGTCAAGCCAATAGCATATTTTAGGATTAATATTATTTTGCACTTTTAAGAATCACACAGATGTCAGATCCTCATGACATTCATAATAGATAGACAATGTTATCAGTGACAAAATTTAAAGTCAATAAGATGAAATATCTGTGCTAAGAACTTCCACAGGTTAACAACAGAACTTGATAGTAGAAGTCTTTCCTCCATGAGTAGCTAGACTCTAACTTGCAAAGTCATTTTGTAAAACAAGTGTTCTTGTTCTTTACTGAAGCCAATTATTTACTCTATAGAGCACTTACTAGGGTAATTTTTCTTAGTGGTATATTTTGGTCAGCATGTTCCTCTAGGAAGAAATATTGGCTGATAGCAGCATATTTATGGGATCCATTTGTATAAGGAAGGTTTATAATGGGAATAATGAAAGGAAATGTAAAGTTTCAAAAGTCTCAAAAATTTGTTACCTCTTTTGTTATTTAACATTGTTAACATTTAGCATTTAAATAAGCCAAAGATGAACTGGTTGGTAGAGGTGATCTTTTTTGGAAAGTCCTTCATCCTTTTTAATAATCAGTAGTTGTTCTCAATTTGTCCATGCCAAGCCTATACTTACACAACTTTACCTGTGTTTTGCCATTTAAAATTTTGCTCAATTATGTATTCTGATGCATTCTTTCCTTAATTATTTTTTTTTTACTGAAGGCATATGAAAAAAAGCAGTGATATGCAATGGGATATATAGCATTCTGTGAGTGTATCAGTATTGTTTGTATTGTGAAATCTATGACCTTCTGGTAAATATGGTCATTTTCACAGCAATACATTTGATTTGACTATACATGAAGTAGAGGAACTATGGGATGTACTGTAGCTTTAATAATATATCTCATTCATTTGTGTATCATGTCTTCCCATCCACATTTATTTGTCTTCCCAAACTTTAAAATGTCCTAAGTTTTATTCACATCTAGCTACTGACTTGTGTGATCATATGCAATTTATTTTACCCTTCAGTATCTGAATATCTGTTTATAAATTTGATAAAATACCTTGAATTGCCCATGAAGCATTACCTGCCTTATTTAGTAGTCAGTAGCAACATTCCTCCCATGTAATTGTATGTTTAAATAGTTAATGCAGATCCTGAATTTTAGAATCTTTCAGGTAAAATTTCAGCATACTTCAAAATTATTTTTACTTTAGCCAGACCAAAGACAAGTTCTTCTTTATGACAGAATGTTCATTTTATCAAGAAGGATATAATGTCCTACAGCAGTTTTAAAAACCTCTATGGAAAATGTAATGAGTTTGGAATTAAATCACTAACACATCAGTGACGTGGTCAGCAATGAAACAGCATTTATTTATAGACTGAAATATTCATGTATTGCATGGCGTACTAGCTACTCATCCTTCATTAAAAGAATAATATAAATATTGTGAAGTTAAATGATATTATTTAACTTTCCCTTTAAAAAAGTTTTCCTAAGGTTTTTGAAAGACCTACCTAATCAAATATCCTTAAATTCTGTAGGAAATAGAAACTGATATTATCTGAAGTGCTGTATAGCAGGTAAATAAAGTGAATAGAAATTAATAGGAAAAAATGATTATTTTTCAGTAATCATTATTCTGGGCTGTACTTTTCAGAAGTGTCTACTGCCTACATTAATTTAAGATCAATAAATTTGAAATTACTGCTGTCCTCTTACGTGCTGCTGTGTATATCATTACTACAGGCAAAGATGAGATCAAGAATTACAAGGAATTACTATCACTTCTGCAAGTATTATTGGTACTCTGCTCATCTTCTTCTTGAAGGACTACAGGATCAAAATGGTCCCAGCTGATCATTATCAAAGTATGTATGCAGATCTAAGAAAATGTTCAAGCTCCTGCGCAGTTAGTTGGACTAAAGCACATATTCAACATTAAGAACACGCCTGAGTGATCTCCTACACAGGGACTAATTTAACTAACAACTTAATCTGTAGACCGAAATCCATATGAATAAATAAATGGCTGTGTGTTCTGCACATTTTATATCAGTATTCTATTCCTTAATTTTTGATGATACTGCTTTAAAATACTGACTGATCCGTCTGTGTCAATATACTGGGCACCCATATAGCTCATTCTCATCCTTCTGACACAGTTTCATTGCTGCCTTCCAGCTGTTATCAAAAAGTTCCTTATATTTACTCAACCTTCAAAGTGCTGCCTGTGGACATATAACAGTCCTAGGCATTCCTTTTTGCTGATGTACACTGATTTCCTTGGAGGTTTCTTTCCTTTTTTGTCAGTTGCAGGCTCAAAAGAGGTCTCATATCATGTAGGTCAAAGTTTACTTAATAGAATTTTTGGCTCTCATTTAATCTACTGTACCAAATATGTGAATGTTTCTTTCCATGTGCTACAAGCAGATACAAAGTTTAGTCACACTGTTCTGAAGTTCACTGAAAGCAGGCCAAGTTCCAGAATTATAATAGTTAAACAGCTGGCTTCTATACTAACAGCACTTCCCTTTAAATAATGCAAAGCCAGTGGAGTAATTCAGTAGGGCTGGTTTATGCTTGATTTCTTTGTTTTCTTCCCACCCCCCAACTTCAAATATTTCATTGATGCTACCATTGCTTCTGCTAGACTGATGGCCTCAATGTTAGAAGCACTGGTGTAGGTGGACTATAAAAGTTTCAATTGTCAAACTACCTAGACATTCTTTAGAGAATTAAAATCTACTGTTGTAACACTAGCATGAGGAAATTACATGAGAAACAGCCCAGAATAAACACAAAACTAAACTATTTTTAGAGGACTCTAGAAAAAAACTGTGGTATTGTGTCCTCGAGGTTTTATGTGACTCTTTATATGTGCTGTACATAGTGTCTTTTTCAGCCCAGGAGTAGAACTCAAGAATGCTGTTTAGACTGTAATTCAGAAAAATATAATAAATCTGAAAAACAGTGAACCATATTCCTAACCTACTAATAGAGTCAACATTTGGTTATAACTGCAGCTTTTAAAGTAACATGAAAGGCTATCGACCTACTAGTGTACAGTGATCTTGTGGATTTTCTTTTTGACCAGAGAATCTCGATATGTTTCTTATAAAATATCAGGGTAATATAATTTGTACAATGTTGAAGCACTGACAGCAGTTTTGGGGTGTTTCTGTAAGTGATCCTCCAAAATGGTGTGATAACAAGCTCTTTTTCTCATTTACCACTATGTCCAATTTGTAGCCTACAATATCTGTATGTATATAGGCATACTGAGGGGCAGTAGGTCAGCCAGAGAGAATTTGTCCATGCCTGAACAACGATGAGGCTCTCTACTGCTATATTGCAATGTAGAACTACAACATCTTGTACACTGGATCCAGGCTGGGAGCTGGTGGCTTGAAGTATTTTTGACTTCCAGGTAGTGTCGGCCTTTTGGTGGCAAATAGGGATGCTGAGTTTGCCATTCATTTTACCCAGTTTCACTATCTGAAAATTAGGGGTCTAGTTTAAGGTAGTCAACAGGCAGGTATGTCTGAGTGGCTTAGAATGTTTTGGATGCATTACTCAAAATTAATTGTCCTCTGAAAGACCCTGTGTTCTTTCTTTGACTAGATATAAAGCTACCTGATCTTCTCTTAGATTATACACATAACCTCTAGGTAACTGAAGTCAAACAAGATGATTTTTCAGTTACCTCTAGGTAACTGAAGTCAAACAAGATGATTTCCATTGCAAGTGTTTTGTCCTAAATCACAAAATATGCTGCTGGTGGAGTATGAATTCATTTCCATTTCCATTTTAGCAATTAAATATGATGACCCATATTTGTTCCAAAAAGCATTCCATCCAGTCTGCCATTTAATCATGTATCTCCATGCCTCTTTTACTATGTTTTGTACAGTAGGGCTAGTATCCTTCCCTATTGTGCATTATAAATAAATGTGTATGCAAAATATGTGTGTTGATATCACTTTTAATCTCCTCACGATCTTAGACAAATGATTTAATATTATATCAGGAATACTTCTTGAGAGTACTCTGGAATTTCGAATCAGTATTTGGAAAATTATGAGTCAATGTTCAATCAGTGGGAAATGCCTTTATTTTGATACTTCTATGAAGTATTGAAACAAACATACAAGCAAGCAAAAAACAAATTTTATGACCTGTTGTAAAGTGCCTTAACAGAAATACCTTATGATTTCAACTTTGCAAAGTAGGCAATCTGATTTTCATGTAAATAAGTTGCATGTATTTTGAAGCTACAATATTTAATATTTAGCTTCTATTTTCCTTCAATGTTTTGTCAGTGCCAAAAAAATAATTATGCTTAGACTGATTTTTGTTTGTATTCATCATAATAAGCATATATTAGCATTTATAAATGCTCAATGAATGGATGATCTAGCTCTGAAGTCTAATTTAATATGCATGAGAATAGAGGAAAAGCTTTATCAGTATGCACAAGTAAAATCTTCATGAAAGCGTATGCACTTGTTAATAGTGAGATATTGCAAGAGAGCTACTGCTTTGTAGAATGTTGGATCGCACTAATTACTGAGTCAAGAAGGCAAGAAGATCTTTACTTGCTGTTAAGGTCCTTGTCCTTTAAAATACTAGGCAAGTAAGACAGGCAAAGCATAGGCGCTCAATTAATACTCCTCTATAAGAGAAATCTATTAAGTCTTGACTTAATTACTCAAGGAGAATTTTCCCTGAGTAATTAACATTTATAAGCTGCACCTTATGAAAAACTGAAAACTCTAACATTCCAAGTGGTGAATAAAACAACTATTTCACTTTAGTAAAGTTCGTTAGCCAACAAATGTAGATTTATCCCAAAAGGTGTCTTAATTTTAAATTTGTGTGTCTTTGTTTACCAGGTAGTCTGTGACACAGTAGAAGAAGGCTGACTTTTCATTTAGAAATACTCTTTCAGAAGCATTTTTTTCTTCATTGTATATTAAATTGAAAAATAAAAATAAATAATAATAATAAAAATAAAAATCTTCTTTCCCTAAACTTATTTCCAAGGTACAGCACTTATAACAATTTACTCTCACATGCAGCTGCACCATACTTTGCCCTCTTTATGGAACTGCTGCTTTGGAGGCCATGAAGCACACTAAGCATATGATAGAGCCATTATGCTTCCTTCACACAGTAGTTCCTAAGCCAGTTGCAACGTGTGAAGAGAAAGACCTATAGTTTTTTGAGTATTGCACTGGGATATGAAATGGAAATTTTAGAGTTTAAAATTCTTTTGAGGAAAAAAAAAAAAAAAAGAGCAGAAAGAGTGGGAAACAATATAATGTATTATTTTACACCAATTCAGTGCTCTAGAGGGTGAAAACCTTGCCAACCTAGCACAATTTACAAGCCTACGTCAGATTCCAGGGCTGGAAAGTGCCAGATGCTGCCAAAAAATATATACTTTGGCAAGGGAAATGCTTTGCTGGACAGAAATTCACTACTGCAAGAATGGGCAGGTTTATCGAGGTTTAGGACAAGATAATTAGAAACCAGTAGGTCATTGCTACATTTGGATATTTCCCACTATAGTGCATCCAGGAGGACAACAGTAATACAGTCATCCATCCATAATGAGAACACGTTCTTTTTTTTTCTTGTATATGCTCTCACAATAAATAATTACTACTTACCCTTGTGTGTGGTAGAAGGATGATCAATGACCTTCCATGCCTTTCTTATCTCATAGCCAATGTAAAATTCTGATTTATTTGGATTGTCAAATGAATAAAAATGCAAGAAGTGTAATTGGGTGAAATTCTAGCATCAATGAAGTCATTGGGAAATCTTTTAGTGCAGCCAGGATTATGAATCAGGTGCCAGAAGCTACTTATATAGAACCTGATCCAAAATCTATTAAAATCAATGAAAGACTTCCACTGCCCCTAGTGGGCTTGGCGTCAAGCTGATAATGAACAATTGTTTGCTTTGCCTTCCAATCTTACAGTTCAGTTCATCTTAGTGGCATCTGGAGATATTTGCATGGAGTGGATGTGATGTGATTCCCTGAAGGAGGTAAGAACAAAAGAATCCTGATGTACAACGTGAAACTGAATGACTGTTTCCCGGAGTTAATCCTACTGACTGCATAACAAACAATACAATGTTTTGCAGTGTGTAACCAGGATTTTATCAAGGTACTTATTCTCAGCTGTATTCTGGGAAATGAAAGCAAATAATAAATGACAAACATGGCACTCTTATTCCTGCATCAACTAGTCAGAGGGAGAAAGTTTGAATGGCTGTTGCATAATACTGAAATTAAATCTCTCTTCTCTATCTTTCACTGTATCCATGGGTGCAGCTATTGTCACACATTACAATTTCTATTTCTACTTATATGACAGTAGTCCTTCCAGGGTGTAAGCAATTAGGAGGAGGCCATTGTTATCTAATCTATTATAGAGACAGATGTTGACGTTTTTCTTTCCCTCATTAGAAACAATATGACACCAGAAAAGAGGGAGAAAGAAGACACTAGGAAGGGCATGGCTCACTTCTCACGCACACTAGGTTTGTATTTGTCTAATACAGTTAACTTCAGCAGATTTACTCCAATATGTGCTAAGTTCTGGAACTATAGGCTCTGTTTACTGAGATCTGATATCATTGTGAAGGGCTTTGTCAGCAAGAAGCATCCAACCTTGTACACTACTCTATGCAGCAATCAAGAATAAGAAATAATCAAGATTCAGCTTTGTACTTGTTCAGTAGTTTGGAAAGTATTGTCTGAGTCTTGTTTAGACTTTCAGTAATTGAACCTTTCTCTAGAAGCCAGAAGCATTAATTACTTTAAAAAAAAATAATAAGCACAGGTAAGATGACAATGTTTTTTATGAAAGTTAAGCATGTAGTTTTCTTATGGCCAACGTTGCAAATGTGAAAACTTATATCTAATGGTCTGCTGCTTTTGGGCTATTGGGATACTTTTACTCATGAAGGTTGAATCTCAAGGTTCCTGATTACTGAGAACAAATTAACCACTGCATTCTGAAGGGGAATTAAGACAGAAAGATTAGGAGTTAGATTCTTTTATCTTCACTGATGTTAAACAGTACTTTATCCTAAATAAAGAGAGCTCTTTGCACAGAAAGATACTACTTAGTTTCAGGAATATTTATGGAATCTAGCTATCAATTCTTTGCACGGGAGAAAGCTGTGACAGTGCCAGGAACTGAACCTACATCAATTTAAGCACTAGGCCAATGTCTTAACCATATACCTGTCTTCCATTAACCTTACTTTTGACTTGTTCGGTCATGTAAAAATCTAATCTTGAAAGAAAGCATTCTTTTGAGGTCATGATGCTCCTGTTAACTTGTCTAATGAGATAAAAGAAAAAGTGAAACTTTCCAGTGAAGTACATAGTCATTAGGGAGTGAGGATGAAGTCACTGGGGTGAGAGAGGGACAGTGAGTTGTATCTGGAAACAACAGCTAGCTAAATCTAGCTGAAATATACTACTATGCTTGATTCACCTTTCACTCATAATGTTTTTTTACCAGTTTTAGCTCCATTTTTTTTTTTGTTAGTGATTTAATACTGCAATAGGAGCTAGGAGGATAAGTTCCAGTGACAGGGACATAAAGAAAAAGAAGGCAGTGCTGAATAATAAATGAAACTACTCTTATTCTCCTTGACAACCAAGCACACCTTCTTATTACTGAAGACATGCAGAGAGATCATAATCAAAGTAATGCTGATATAGTGCAGGCAGAAATTGGTTCCAGGATAGCATCTTATATACCAAGACTACAGTTTCTGTAGGATCATTGAAGATAGAAGGGCTTATAGGCAGTAAAGTTTTATATGAAGCAAACAGGCAGTAATTCTATCAAGGAATCAAGTTCAGCAGAAAATAAGTGGGGTGAATAAGTATGCTTACAGTGGTAGTCTTTTTAATTTATCTTATTATTATTACTAATATGTAAGCTTAGTAGTGACTGTAAATGTTAACATTTTTAGGTGTGCTTCAGTCTACAGAATCATTCTTCCCAACGTGGCCAGTGACTTTGCATGTCATTATGTCCACTTCACATTGAGCATATTTTTGTTCAGGAGCTATGGTTTTCTTGGAAAAAAATAACATACAAAAACCCACAAAACTTGTCTTATGCTTACTTGGCCAGTGGAGGGCCTACATGGTATCACAGAAAATGAAAAAGTAGAATCAAGTGAATGTCATGAAGTATATTTCTAAAGAATCTTTTATTCCTGTATTGTTCATTAGAAATTACAGCCATTTTTAATTCTCAAGCATTTAACACCTATAGTTTAAAATGCTACTAGATCTCAAAGCATGATGGATTTTGAATAAAATTGTTGATTCTCTGGAAACAGATTTTGAGTTGTGCCTGAAAGTATTTCTTGGATATAGACATCAGTATTAAGGCCTTTTCAAATATTTTTGTTGAGTCTTTTGATATTTAATTTTGCATTTGCAAGTTATTAGCTGTATTTGAGATTAATAATCTAGTATTCAAACATGACATTAAGAGTCAAGCAGTACACCGCAAATTGGATTTTGGGCATACTCTGTTGGTACCCAAAACTTTACTTAATAAGATCATAAATATTTTCAAACACCTCTTCTTAAGTACATAATTGTAGTTAGTTCTACAATTAAACCTGATATTGATATATATATACCAAATCAAATAGCTAGAAACAATATTTCCACACCAAAAAAAATGTAATCCCTGTAATATCTTTTTTGCTTCTTCTGTCTAATTTCTTACAACTAAAGGAATGGGCTAGTGTCCAGAGGAGGTTAAGTCATTTTCAACTGTAACAGACACACAGCTAGAAAGCTTTTTTATTTTTTAATAACACATTCAAATTAATTTTATCATTAGGCACTCAAATTTCATAACAAAACAGAATAATCTCTAATATATGTTTCCTCTGACTGTGCCTCCTGAAATCGCTATTGTGTAATTGTGATAATACTTGCAATCTCCTGAACTTTTAGCATTTATACACTCAGAGTGTGGTTGCAGAGGCTGACAGCATGGTGTTTCTCTCTCTTAGTCATTTAGTATCAAAACTGCTTAGAGTTCTTTCCATTCAGAGTAATTTTTGGATAAAATACGACTGTTGCTCTCACAGAAACTTTGGTCAAAATGTATACTAAATGAAAGTTTTCTGTGGTTTGGGAAAGTTGGATTAATTTTTTCCCCTTGTTTTTCATTTTACATTCCTCTGAACTCCTTTTTCCTAGCCAGAAAAGGAGGTGCCGAAATAACCTAAAGAGGCTGTGCAGCCTGGCTGGAAGAGAGAAGAGAAGTTCAGCAAGTTTAGTGAGAGCGGCTGTTCCTGTGAGATTTCCAGCCGAAGGGCCTTAACCAGGATGACACTAATTCTGCAGATCTCATTCTCCTCATTTGTGAAACTCAGAAAAGTTTCAGGTTAGCATCCAGGATAAAATCATAATTGGAAGTAAAATGAAGTCAATTTCACAGTTACATTTGTCTAAAATGAGTCTGTTTTCTCTCCTCAGCTTCTAAATGATTGTCTAAACTGCATCTCTTGTGATTTTGCTTAATTATATGCAATCTCTCCTCATCTGTCATTTGCTTATGCTTCTCATACATTCCATCTCGTCTTCTTTGTAATATCACTTAATAACTTTTCTAATGAATTTCCTAAATTCATTCCAGCATTCTAGGTATCTTTGTTTATGCCTCTAGCAGTTAGACAGCAGGTCATTAAATAAGTTGTTATCAATTTAAACTTCATAATTGTTTTAACTTCCCATCCAGCATCATAAAACTGCTATGCATTCAACTGTGATCACTCTAAAGATTAAAACTACAAAAATAAACTACTGCATAAAGTTTTCTCTATACAACTTAAAAGCAAAATTTTTTGTAGAACAGATAAATTTAACATATATCACATTTAGAATTAGTGACAATGAAATACAGTGAACATAAGTGTCATCCTTGCTGTGCGTGTGTGTGTGTTTTTTTCTCTATTTTTCCTAATCTTAGTGATAAAAAGTATAAACCAAAAGTCTGGTGCAGGAAATAGCTGCATAGCATTGACCTGGATGAGACTGAATCTCTCTCTCTCCCTACTTGTCTGTCTTTTGTTGTGTGCATGACTCTGATCTTTTGCCAGCAGCTGCTATGCAGCTTTTGCATAGAATACCACTGGTACTACTGTGGTGTGTGTTGCCCCAGTAATGGCTTTTTGTGTTTTCAACTGTATATAAAATGAGAATATTGCATGAATTATATGCTGTGTTGACATATATATAGAATTGTTTCTATGTCATAGGAGATAGAGAGATGGAGCTGTTGTAATGGAGTAGTATCGCTAGCCAATAGATCTGATCACTGGAATTTCCTGGGTATTAATTATATTCTAGAGTGCACTGATTAGACCTCCAGAAGATTTGTGTGATTGGCACAGAAGAGATAAAATTTAACCTGGTATTGAGGGTTTACAAAAAGGCTTCCTATCCTTCAAATGCATTGTGAAAATAGTTCTTGATGTGAAGGTGTAATAAAAAATCAAACGATCCCTGACAGGGACCGTTGTTTACTTCTGTATCGTTCTCAAGGTTTTGTAGTATTTCACTTCGACTGGCTTTGGCCATGTAAACCTCTGGCCCCTAAACGTTAAGGGCCAGGAGATTTGACACCCGTTGCACCTGCAGGCCCTCGTGTGGGGCTGGAAGGCCGGAGGCTGGCAGTGGCCTTGCTGCGGGCAGCCGGGCCACGCTAGGGGGCTCCGGCGCCATTCGGTTGCTGCCACCTGCGGCTGCAAAGGGAAGGGGACAGAGAAGGGGAAAGAGAAAGGGAAGGAGAAGGAGAAAGGAAAAGGGAAGGTGAAGGCCCAGTATAAGGCTGTGCCCGAGCTGCAGATGCACTGCGGCCTTATGGGTAGTGTGAGAGTGGCCTGTTGAAACTCAGCCTCATCCTCCTCACCACAGGGGTGTTAAGAAGAGAAACACTAGGGAGATGCTGCTGAGCAAAGGGGAGTCAGGATTCATTCCCTGATCTGTTTATAGGTACAGATGGGAATGGTAAATGCCATATTCAATCCAGCTGGCAAACTGGAACATGTCTTGAACTTTTCTTGAACATGTCTTGAACACTTCCCAGAATCATGTTCACAAAGATTTCTGGAGGCTATTAAAAATCAAGTAAACTTGTCTTTGTATTGTTCAAGTGGCAGAGTTACTTTAATTCAAGTAGTGGGACCAGTACTTTTACACACTGAAGTAAACGCTTGTGCTACCACTGCACCTTACAATAGTTTTCCTGTCAGTATTTGGATCTTGTACTGCAGTCGCTCAAGTAACAGACAAGAAGTAGAAAGTGAGAAGAAAGCCAAACTGTTAGAGGAAGGCAGCCCCCTGTGATAAATCCTCCTTTTTAGATTGGATCATTCAGATCATTTTTATTTGTAAATATAGTTCTGGAATTTGAAAAATGAGTTGGTAGGGTATATTTGCAAATCAGGAAGTAAAACACTTCTCAAATATCTGTCCTGCATGCTGTCCTTTGACCTCCTTTCTACATTATTAATAGCTTCTTAATTGTCTATGCAGAAATCCCTTATTATTAATCAGGGTAGGCTTTCTTAATTTCTAGTTTAAATGAAAAATTATGGTGGAAAATCATCAAATGTACAGACAGAATCTATCAGTGTGGTATAGCTCGGTAACCTTTTATGAGCTTTTGAAATAACTGAACCATAGCCTGTGTAACTGCTTGTGTGGTAAACACTGTTGTCCATTCAAGTAATGATACCAGAAATTGTTCCCCAAACACAGAGTTATGTTGATATTTTAAAATACTGCTACTGATCTCCACAGCTTAAGCACTTAAGCTCTACCCTGCTCTTTGTCAGCTTCGTGCTTGGGAAATGTCACTGGAGTGACAGCTGGTGGAGTGAAGGCAAAGAGCAGAGAGGAAGCACTGAAAAATGCTTGGAACAAGTCTCTGTTATTGAGAGAAAAGATACTGGAAATACAGAAAGCAGTATATGGCTTAAAATCCACCCTATGGATGTGTAAAAGAAAGGACTAGATGTAATGAAACATATCTGCACAGTGTGTGGTATATTTAACAGAACTCCTTGCCATTCTTCAATTACAGCAGCAACAAGGAAGATTATCCTTTTCCCTACTCCAGGATGACGTCACTGTACTGATAAGTAGGACTTAGGAGAGGTTTATGTTCTTAGCACTAGAATTAAAAAATATAATGCTCCTTTTAATGTCATAATTTCTAGATCTACCAACTTTCAATGTTTTATCTTGCGAGATCATTAGGAAATTCAGAAATCATTTCCCTTTGGTTTGAGAGAAGCAGAGAGGGGTGATCTAAGGATAAATAAACTCTCTGTTAGTGTGCTACCATACCTCTGTATCGCATCTGGCAAGTATCCACAATGTTTCAAACTAATATGCTGTAAAATTGCTAAGAAGAGAAGTCTTTAAAAATTCATACATATTAACATTTCAATGTTGAACCTGGTAGTAATTATTGAGTACTATATTTGTTTCCTAATAGAACAGACATTCTTAATTTATTATTTCACATTGTAATTTTTCACATTAGACACCATAGTGGCTGAATGAATGATAAAATGAATAATAAAATATCAGTGATAGGACACTTGTTCTTTCCTTTTATTCCAAAGAAACTAGACATTGTTGCACCATGTCCCATATCTTGCTTAGATTCATTTTGATTCATTTCCTAAGAAAAATTGCTGAAACCTTTCCAGATTTCTTCATGGACCATTCATTCATTATTGTCTCAGTGCTCTGAGACAATTATATAAAATCATACTTAGTGGATGTAGAAGAAAAAAAATAATTAAGGTGAGTTCTTCTGGGTATGGCATCTGGTATGGCTCAAGCTGGAATCAGCGAGGGGCAGCCCAATCCCTAAGGAACAATTTGTACTGTCATATTGCACACAGAGTGTGTAAGTGTTTGAAAATTAAATATTTCTGCAAAAGAAAACTAAATATCCCACAACACTATCAACAACTGAGCAGCAGAACGCTGCTCAGGATAAAGTCTGGTAATCATAGATATGAATTATGACTGTTTGGCACCATAACATTGCTAGTGACACTAATAGTTGGAGCAGGTAGCAACACCTAAACCTCAGTTTGCCTGAAGCTTTCTAATACTAATCTCTACAACTTTGAATTGTTATAATTTAACCAAACCTAACTGTCTGGGTTTCAAAGTTTTTACATTGTGCATTTTTGATAGGATTTTCAGGTTTTTGTTGTTCTTCTTATAAAGGATGGGAGAAAGAAAGGTGTAGCTAAAACCATTGAGTAGTTTCTGACAATAAGATTAAAAGAATGCTGATATTAAAAATTAACCTCTTCTTATTTAAAGTGTTAAATAACAATAACCCTTGTACTTCCAGGATGTTAAGGTGTAATTTAGGGAGGAAGCAATAAGAAAATTACTCTGTTTCAGATATGTGCACTTAGGTTCTGCACGTTTAAATTCACCTAAAAATTGCAGATTTCCAAGGTTCTGAGTTACTTATCAGTACAGTTAGGTGTATAGATATAAGTATAGGTATTTATCAATTCAGTCTAAGTATCAGTTCAATTCTCTGAAGAGCTGGGCTAATGCAAGAAGTTTTATTTTTATACCTCCTCATGATAATTTCAAGGCATTATCATCTGGCAACTCTTCTGTTAGAATGGCTGCCATCATTCATTACTGCTACCATAATTATAGCAGCGGTCTGATATAGACTTTTCTCCATCAGGTGTTGAGGTGAGGTTTCTCTTAAAAACATTCTTTCTTGGTCTGTGTTGAGATTAAAGTTAAAAAAGATGTAGCTACTTTGAGGTTAGGTGGACTGGTGTGGGCACTTCTAAAAAGATCCTGCACAGTCTGCTTCACAGTCTGCACTAATCAGGACTGCAAGACTGGTACTTATATAGCTTTTCACTGACATGCAATTGCTAGTACACAGTGCAATCACTGCCCAACCCAGAAAAATTGGATGCAGTTGCATGTGCTGTGCGTTTGTTAGAGGAGAACTGTCCTTGAAACCTGGTTCAAACATGATTCACTCTCAAAGGAATCAAAGTCCTAGTTCAGGTAAGGTAGCTGCCAAATACAGAACTTTAATAGTAACTTTTAAAGGCCCCTCTGTCTTAATTTACATTTTCTTCTGATCCATCATTATTACCTCTTCTCGGAAAAAAAAATTCTATCTTGCTTGATACAGTTTTCTCTTACTGCTAATTCTTGCCTTTGTTTCTTCTGCACACAATTCTTATGTACAATGACTGCTTTTAAAATAAATACACTACAGTATTGACTGCTTTAATTGAATAATGGAGATATCAAAGCTCAGACAATGGCTTTTTTTCTTTTTTCTTTTTTTTTTTTCCCCATCATTCTTGC